TAGTTCTGTTTCTTTCATAAATATAATACAATGGTCAATTTGATTAATATAAAATATTTATAATCAAATGATTTAAAATGGTTCGAAATTCGTCAACGTTTTACTATCTTCCATAAAAAGCATATAAAATATAAGATTAAGTAATGCATTTTATTATGTAATTAAAAATAATAAAAAAACAGGATCTAGACTGGAACAATAATTCGGAACATGAAACTGACCACATCTTTAAGACTGAGCTGTAAATTGATAGAATGAAGGTTTTTCTGTGTCAAAAGTGGTAACAAAAATCTATTTTGTTTGTAATGTATATACATATACGTTAAGTGATATCTTTACGCACTATTTTTTGAATCTATCTTTTACCATATTGATAAAATTGAAACCTAACAGAAACAAAAGTATACATTACAGTAAACACCACCAGCTTTCTTTCGAGCAATGCCTGTGTGGATATTATCTACATTTTTAGAATTATGCGACTTAACTAAATGGAATACAGTTTCTTTAAAAAAACACTCAAAAACATACGTTATTCAATTAAAGCTTCCGATTTATGTAATTATTTGAATACATACCAGGCTGACGAAGGGCATTATTTAAAAATAATAAAAACCTTTACTAATGGGGGAAAAGTTTCCAAGAACAAGGGAAGTAAAATGCTGGGCATCTAAAATAGCATTCAAAACAAATGTGACCAACTGAGTTAGTTATAGAAAAGAATCTTTAACCAAACCAATCTCTTTGAAAATTCATGGTACAATTCAGTCACTTGGTATATGATTTGTCATTTCATTTCTTTCACTGGACAATGGATTTTTATTAATAGTTTTAACTTTAAAGATATGTTATTTTTTGTACAGGCACAGTAGCAACGATACTCTACTGCTTACCGCTAATGTTTACATTAACTTGTTCCTAATGTTTTGCCCCCCCCCCCAGTGCCACAGCTGTATGTCTGCGGACTTACAACGATAGAAACCGGGTTTCGATACCCGTGGTGTGCAGAGCACAGATGGCCCATTGTGTGGATTTGTGCTTGACTTCGAACAGAGAAACAATCCTAATGTTTTAGTTTTAAACATTCCGGCAGTTTTGTTTCCTTATTACTTTTTTGTGCAGTAAAATGTGAGAATATATGTACACATGAATCCTTGTACGTGTATATGTGCAATTAAATTCTACGTGTGCAATATCTACACACATTCATGCTTTACTAGTGCAATAAAGTGCAGTCCGTACTTAAGAACCATACCGATGATCTAAAACTAGCAGAGAACTGCAAAATATTTGCGGTCAAATTAGTATCTTTATTGTAACAGCACTTGTTTGAATACATGGATTTCTAGAATAATACAAAATAATTCTAATCACGCACACCGAAATCTGTAAGTCCACTTGTTTTAGGCCTATTATTAGTTATGCCGTTATTATGTATGACTTATATTTGATGAAAAAATAAATCAAAACTTGTCTTACACCTAACATAAGTTAAGCCTTTATTAAGTAAAGACTGTAACTTGTTTGCTGTTACGTATCTGCTCGTTTGTTAATTTCCGGTATAAATTCTTTCTGA